CGCGCGGCCCGGAGGGGTGAGGGGCGAGGGGGCTGGGGCTCCTCGAGGACGGCTGTGTCGCTCGGCTGTGTCGCGCGGGCCCCTGGCGCGCCCCCCTTCTGCTGCTGCTGCTGTGTGTGATAATTTTCGTGCCGGGGGAGAGAAACCAGGTGGACGTGACACAGACGGTGACTACCCTGCCAGACGCACAGCGCCACCGGGGCCGGGCCGGAGAGCGCGGGTAGGGAGGAGAGGATTTAGGAGGAGGCTGGCGCCGATAGGTCCGCAGCCTCTCTCTCTCGAGCACAATAATAGTAACACTTACTCAATCTGCTCTCTCTCTCTCTCTCTCTCTCCCTCCGCGTCGTCGGTCGCGTCCTTTTCTGACATTCCTACTGCTTTGACCCCCCCCCCTCCCCCGCTCTTCCAGCCCGCTGCTTTTTCTTGTTCACTTAATGCCATTGTGCGCCTTAACACCTCCGGCGCGGCCAAGCCGGACCACCGCGGGGGCAGGGCCGGACCCGTCAAATATTCAACGCCGTTGTTTAGCTGGACTTCATATTTCATAGGGGGATGAGAGGGCAGGGGTGTGCAAGCGTGCGCTCTTGTGCGCTCGTGTGTGTTTGTGTGTGTGTGTGTGTGTGTGTGTGTGTAAAAGAGCGCGCGAGGACGAATGGAGAGGAATCTATATATCGCTATCGTGATAAATATTTGATACTTATTCTTTGTGAATGCTACGAGCGTGCTTCCTTGCCCCCCCCCCTCCCTCCACCCCCAACCGGCCTTCCTCATTCTCTCCTTTCCTCTATGGCTCCTCTCTCTCTCCTTTCCCTCCACCTTGGCCCTATCCTCAAAATCGAACTCCACTATTCCGGCGGCGGCCACTGTGCGTAGGACCGAGGGGGAAAGAGACCTTAAATCAACTTTTATGGTCGAGTGGAGACATAAAAATACGGAATGGAATTATGTTATCAGTGTGGGGCTCAACACTAACGCACAGAGTCTCACGGAATGAAGGGCGCCCGCCCGCCCTCCCGCAGCCAGGCCCTGCGCCGATAGGAGCAACTTTGCCGAGAGAGAAAAGTACAAAATGATAAAAACAACGTGACGCACGCACGTAAATAAATGAAAAAGGAAAGCAACTAACAAAAACAAACAGGCACATAACAATCCCGCGCACAACCCGGAACAGTCAACAGGAAGGCTATGGCGGCGGTAGGCCTGAAAATCCATGAATAAATAAGCACATTTTATTTTACGTTGAAAAGTTGTCATACAATTGGAAAACGTATAATCCTTTTTAAAAACGTGATGTACTTCTTTCTAATTTCTATCCGTACTATGGAACCCCCCATGCATAATAATGCGGTACTATAAGGCAACTTGGACGCGTCGGGTCGGACAGGTTCCAACAATGCGTTCAGGGGGAGTGACAGAGAGGTAGAGAGACATTCTCTCACACTAGAGAAGATATACTCCCCCTCTCCCTCTTGCACTCTTCTCTTCGTCGTTGCCTGACTGTGGCGTCGGCGAGGGCTTGAAGATCCTCGAGTTAAGGTCCAAGTCCCAAGTTGCGAGTCAAGTTTTGTAATGGAGGACACTCGCTGCGTTGAGGTCGGTGGTTTAGGGCAAGCCCGGGGGGTGGGGGGGTGCCAAAGCTGGGGTAGCAGTAAAAGGGGTGAGGTGGGGGCAGGCGGTGGGGAGGGGAGGGGTAGGAGACGACCGCGTGGTCAGGGGGCGCGGGCCACTCTGTGAGGAGGATAGGGGTGAAGCATCCGCGGAGGGTAAACGCAGCAGGAAGAGGGAAAGGAAAGAAGAGGAGTGGGGGGGGGGGGGGGTAAACTGGCCCCCAGAGGGGGGTACAAGGGAAGGAGAGGGTATGTGAGTTTGGCATGGACCGTTCCTAACGAGCCGGCTAGAATTGTTGGGTGGGAAGAAAGTCGGAGGGAATGGGCAGGGACAGGGCTGAGGGCGAGCAGTCCGCGCCTGATGGTCTTGGTGACTGGCCGCGGGGCGGTCAAGGGGGAGGGGTGGTGGAGACTTCACGTGAATGATACTGTCGGGGCTACTACAACGCCGGTGGGGGCGTTTAGCAGCAGAGGGTAGAGGGGGTGGACGGGGGGGGGAGGGGGTAGAGGAGGAACCTGGAGGTCAGGTAGAGGTGAGGAGGCGATGAGGGAGGAGCACGAGGAAACGGCGGCGCGGGAGATAACACGGGAAAGAGGAGGAAAGGAATAAAGTAAGGCGCGGGGGGTCCGCCTGATCGGGGGGCCGATACGATGGCCTCGGCAATGACGGCTCCCGGGCCGGCAGGGCCAGGAGCAGGCTGAGCAGGCGAGAGCAGTAGGAGGAGGCGGAGCCGGAGGAGCAGCAGCAGCAGCACGAGAAGCGGGAGGGGCAGGAGCAGCAAGTGGAGCAAGTGGAGCAGGCCCTCCGCCTCCTCATCGCGCAACATTTCCTCCAGCCGGCAATCGACAACAACGGCAGCGGCGATCACGAGGGGAAGGTGAGTAGCTCTCCACGGCGAGACAGAAGATCGCTCGAGGGGTTGGGGGTGGCGAGTGAGAGAGAGTGTGGGGTGCGGGGGGGGGTGCAGCAAGCACGCCCAGCGGCAGGCCGAGCGAGAGGCCGCGCAACTTTGTAGAGTTGGATATCTGGCTCGCCCGAGTGAGTCTCAGTAGTGCGTCTCTCTCTCTCTCTCTCTCTCTCTCTCTCTCTCTCTCTCTCTCTCTCTCTCAATCTCTCTCTCGCTCACTCTGAGCTGTCGCGTGTTTCATTGCCGGCCAATAGAGCGCGCCACTGGACCGGCAGCGACTCAACGCGACAAAACAGTGATTCCGAGAAATTTTGATATTGTGCACGCATAGCTTGTGTAACCACCGAAACCCCGATCATGAACAGCTAGAAGTTCCGTTTAAGCGGGTCAGTGCTCGGATGCGCCCCCTACCCACACACAGACACACAATGCAAGGTGCGGTGTGCGCAGGGGTCAAACCCAAGGTCCACCACCCCTTTTGGCCGTGTGCGAGATACAGTTTCAATTCCAATAATAAACGCTATTTTCCCCAGTGTTCCCATCCCCACCTGCTTGCTCTACCCTCCTCCCCGCCTGCACCCCCTTCTCTCCGACTCACTATCGCACGCTGGATGAGACACACAGCGCGTCATAAAAGATCCCATCGGGCCCAGCGGGGCCCGGCGCGGCGTGGCGCGGCGGTGCCCGCCCAGAGGGGGTAGAAGGGCTCAGCAGCAACCCCGCAGCTCCCTTTACCCCCGTCCTCCGCCGCGACCCGCTGAGCCCGCCCAGGTATAGCGCACCGCACGAACAACTCGGGGCGTCGACTCGGACCCCGCGAAATAACCTAACCTCATGACAAACGAATATACACATTGCACATTCCCATAAAACAACAAATAAACAAAAAAATGCAAAAGTATGTGATAACGTTTTTTTTAAATGAAAAGAAACAAAAACAAATTAAATTGAATGCACTGAAATCCGTTTTGTGATACTTTTACTCAACTCCAAAAAATGTGATAAAAGTATCACAATAATGTGATACTTTTATCACATTTGTTGAGGTTATCATGCCCTTTAGCGCGGAAATCGCAAAACACCAGTGATCGCATGGTTTTGTGTTAAAAGTATCGCAAAAACAGACTCAGTCTGATCTAAGCTAAAACTTCACTTACCTGGCGCGTCGCGTCGACATCCGCCGTGGGAGCCGCGAGGCCCGCGGGTCGGACTCTGCTCATCTCGGGCTCACCGCCGCGCCTGGAACAGCGACAACAACAACGAAAAGGTCAACAAACAGCATCCAGATCACACGGGTCGACGTTCACAACAGCGGCAGTCAGCAGCACACAGCAGCGGGTGGCGCCACCTGTCGGGCCGACGGGCAGCGCTCCCCTCGCTATCCACACTAATCCTGCTCAAGGATGGGGGGAGGGGGAGAGGGGGGCGCAAACTGCCGCAAAGTTTAATGTTCGCTCTGCGTCGCTACACACTGCACGACTGCCTGGCCGCCTGCTGCCGCGCGCCACGCCCCGCCACGCCCGGGGAGACTTCCGGCCCGCCGCGCCCTGCTGCTTCCTGTCGTGTCCTGCAACACCTGCGACCTGCATCACTATTCACTACCCCCGCCCCCCAGG